GTTTGGCTCGGAAAAAACATAAAAACGAATAAAGAGTGGTTAATGATCATTAATTAATGGTAATAAAACAGTAATAGAAATAATAAACCAGGAAGAGGAAGAAAATCATTGATTTTGCGGTGCGGTGCATTTAGTATATTATGTTAAACCGTGAAGACAAAAATTTGGATGAAAGATAGTTAGTAACATTCCCTAAAAATCAACTATCTTTCATCCAAATTTTTGTCCTTACGGTTTAACATTCCCTAAAATTAACTTTCTTCCCTTCTGGGTGCCACGTGGTTTCTCGTTGGCGTTGCAGTCGTTGCGTAAAAAAATCTTTGTAAATTTTTTTTTAGATACTGTTAACAAAGAATTGCTGAATGATGACACACAATCCGTGTCAAAACGTATATTTTAAATAAATAATTTGCATTTATTTGTTTCTTTTATTTTGACGACTGGCTGAAAATCATATCAAGATATATATATATATATATATATATATAATATATATATATATATATATATATATATATATATACAGAAATAACAAACCCAAGATTATGATTAACCATTAAGATTGAATACAAGGACTATTAAAAAATGTATTTATTTATTCAGAATTAAAAGACAATTATTATTAATTTGTTAAATACTAAAGAGAAAAGGGAGAAAGAAAGACAAGTAGAAAAGAAGAGAGTAAGGAACAAAAGAGAGAGGAAAGAGAGAAAGACAGTGAGAGAGAAGAAATTGAAAAGAAATGAGAGAGAAAGAAAAAAGGAAGAGAGATAGGAAAAAGAAAGGAAAGAGTAAGGAAAAAGAGAGGAGAGAGTAAGGAAAAAGAAAAGAGAGAGTAAGGAAAAAGAAAGAAGAGAGTAAGGAAAAAGAAAGAAGAGAGTAAGGAAAAAGAAAGGAGAGAGAAAGGAAAAAGAAAGAGAGAAAGAAAGAAATCTAAAACTTAATATTTATTAATTCAAATAGTTTTGCAAGAAATCCAGGTGTCTAAAAAAGTGTTTTTCTTCTACAATTTTCTATATTTGAGAGTGAAAGAAAATAAAACTCTGTTTTTACAACAACTTTGTAGACTAGGATGTTGTAAATTAGTTTATATTTATTTTATCTGTTGTAACTTTCAAATCATTCGATTAATATAGCTGGTGTATTAAAAAAATTGTACAAAATTAATTGTTCTAAAAGTCTAACAATATAAACCATAGAAAAACTATGTATATTTCAACATGAACACCAAAATTTTTGAACCATTTTAAAAATACAATTAGTATGGTATCACAAACAATATTAGTTACTATAACTTACATTTTTCAATATTTTTTGTCCTAAATAAAAATCTTACAGTTAGATATTATTTCCATCAGCTATCCTATTATTTTCATGAGAAAACCACAACAACGCATACGAATTACACTTTCGTATTACATAATTAAAAGTGTTTTAAACGATAAAAAATTCAGTAAAAAACTATGATTACTTAATCTAGAAATGCAGATGATTATTTGGAATGATATATATGTCAAATTTGAATAGATTTTTTGCTATTTTTGGCATTTTCAGGCCATTTCTCACGGTAGATAAAGGAGTTTTATGAAAAAAAAACTAGTAGTGCACTTTTAAGAAAAATAATTTTTCAAAATTTTCAAACTTAATTTATAAAAGTTGTAGTCTTATTTATGCAAAATTTTAATTTCAGAGATGTCTTCGAATTTTTGCAAAATGCCGTCAAATCTCTATGTATGAATATAAAATTATTTACTTTAATGTGATACGTTTTTTATAGATTTTCATAGACTTTATAATTTTTCACAAATTAGTGGATTGTCGAAAATTGGTGAAACTTTTTGTGTATATACACTAGAGTTGCAGCAATTTCTGTGCAAAATTTCATTCTGATTCCTTACTCAGATTTTGTACAAAAAATTATCAAAATTTTGTATAACAGTCTAACATACAAGTTTTGCTAAGTGCACTTTTTGAAGAAAAAAATTATAACGAATTTACTAACTACTAAATCCCAACAAAACTTTTTACACTCGTTTATAATACTTATAGCAAAATTTGTGCGAAATTTCACCCATCTATCTGCAACATATAATTTACAACAAATTCTCAAAGTGTATAATTTTCAAATATAACACTTGTCTCTCTCCTCATACATCAAGTGTTTAGTTTCATAACACTTGTTTATAATACTCGATCAATATTCATAACACGATTATAGTTAATTTTGTTATTATTCTAAACATAACACTTAAACAAAAATTACACGCTCGTTTAAATGATTTTTTATTTGAGTAGTTTATTTACATAACAAGCACTCGAAGAAATTTAAGTAAATAGAAGACTTTGAAGTAAAAATATTGATGGTAAAATTTTGATAAATTTTGCAACAAATCTGAGCTAGTTGTGATTATAAAACTTTACACAAATGTTACTATACTTATAGTGTAACTATCAAAAAAAATTCAATAATTTTGGAAATTTGCAAAATTTATAAAAAATCATTTTCCTAAGAAGTTTATAGTGTACCACTATATAACAAACTTATATTATAGTTCGATATTTTATAGAAATATTTTCTATATTTGGACAAGTGCATTCCTTTGATACATGTTCCATAACTTTTGAACCATTCGATTAATATGAATGATGTATTAGCAAAATTTGTTCAAAATTGAACAGTCTACACTTTTGTCTAACACCAAATAACTCTAGAGCAACTCGGTATACTTATAAATGGCAACTGAAAACATAATTTTGTTATAAAATGTATATCTTTACCTTGCTATTACACCAATGGTGTTTTACGCATTAAAATGTGCGATTGCAAAATTTCTTCATCGAAAGACATTGATGGAATTTTAAAATAGATTCTTGAAAGATCAATAACTTTTGATAAACATCTTTCGAATATCATCATTGACCTCAAATTTGTTTTTGAAGAAGATAAAAGTAAAAGCATATGTCTGTTTGTGACCCCAAGAGACCCGTAGATGTTAAAAAACAATAACACATTTGGTAAAATATAAAGGTACAATTTCTGGTATTTTTTGATGCAACTTTAAAATTATTGAAAATTTTGATTTAAAATGTCCTGCAAATTTGAAGCTGATAAAATTGTCTATAAAACTATTCATATAAAAATTTCTTTAAACACTGTTTTGAAGTATAAACTTCTTTAGGCGCGACTAAGGTGTAAATCCGTACAAATGCAACGGAAGTGCGTTACGGCAGAGTCGAGTGCCAATGATTCGTCATTCGCTCTCGATGAAATCATTTCTTTACGGGTCGATTGTGATTAGTCGTCGTGTATGTGAATAGAGGTCTGTCGTTGTATGCGTACCGGCATCAACGTTGTATGCGTACCGATATCAACAAAAAAATCGGCATAGATAAATAAACATTTTAAAGTTACATAGTAGTACAAATCTTGATTTAAAGAAAAATGCCTGAGTCAGAAGAATATTCTACTCTGTTCTTTGAAAATAATGAAACAAATTAAACATTTGTGCCGTGTACTAAACGTAAGTTTATTGATTAGAAATTATTTCTATATTATTCGTAGTTTCTGTAAATCTTTAAAGTTAATAAAATAGAAAATATTTTTTAGGCAAGACAGATATTACAGCTGTTCAAAGAAAGCTATTTGATCGCCAGCGAAAAAGTAAAAAAAATACAAGTAGTCAATGAATGTATGTTAATTTTAATTACATGAAGTTCTTTAAAAATAATTATTACATGATGAGTGAAGTTGCAAAAACAATATTTGTTCAGGCATTGTTTAACAGAATCCACTGTGAAAACGAGTATTATAGATTTTATTAATTAGCAATTACTTCAATTCTCTAATAAAGATTCATTTCTAAATGCTAATTACAATGACAAACCGATCATGTCATATTTGAAGTATGACTTTAATTACATTATTCTTTTTAAATATTATACATATTTGTAATGCTATTATAAATATATGATTTATAATTTATCATTTTTATTAATATATTGCATTGTGAAAATTGTATGTAAAATGCATGAATCAAGTGCTTTTTGTTATATTTTGTACTATAAGTTATGATTTTTTTTTGTTTTGTGCAAGAATTATTAGTAAATTTTAAAGCTTATAAAATTATCTATAAATTTGTTATTATGTATAATTATAAAAATGTATATTTTTAAAAATTCTATAGCAACAGCAACTTTTTGTCGGCATGATGGAAAACTTTTGGTGCGTTTTTAAAAGAAATAATTTATAATAAATTAGTTTTTGATTGAAAATCGATGAAACTGTTTTTGGGTATACACTATAGTTGTAGAATTATCTATCTAAAAACTTTATATGCCAAATATGAAGATGATAAAATTATCTATAAATTTGTCATATATAATAAAATTTTAAAATAATTACTAATATTAGTAAGCTTATTTTGAAATCAACCCAAGCACGACAGACATTTTCTTATATTTGGTACAAGAACTTCTAAACTTATGTGTTTATCTTAAATATGTGTGAGATTTAATAAAAGATAATTATCTACAAATTTCTCATACATATCAACTTTGTATAAATAATTTTTGTATTTGAAAAATGCATTTGAAAACCAAAATATTTCAATTATCACAATTTTTGCCTCGCCTGCTGTTACAGCAACGTACATAAATTTCTTCGAAATAAAATAACTATATATTATTTTTTTATTACAATTGTTACAAAATCGTTATAAAAATCAATAAATCGTTTTATAGAGTTAGTGAAATAAACAAAATCGTTTTATTGACGATTACGTTACATAATATATGAGAAAAAATAAGATAATCATTAAGTTAACGACTTTTGAAAGTAACAGTCGAAATTTATATTGACCTATGTACTACATATTTATATAATAAAGTGATTTGTGATTTTTTTTTATAACTAAACTATTTAAGTTACAAAATAAAATTTGGGGAAAATGTTAGTAGAACTATAATGATTCACCAAAATTTTTTAAAATGAATTTATATAT